TGTAGCTGGAGGACTCACACAACGTTATGTAGTATTTTACAGGGTATCTACAAGTCGGAAACATTTTCAAAAATAACTTGAATTTCAATTATAGTCTGCAAATACAATTTCTTGTATGAGTAGTTGCTGTTCTTGTCTACAGGGTATCTAGTAGTCGAGCAATATCATCTTATAGAACTAAGCTCTTGAATATCTTAAATCTTATTCATTTCGAGCACTTATATGCACTCATTAGCCTTTATATGAAGGACCAGGGTATCTGCTAGTCGAGCATTGCCCATGGGGCAACTGCATCTGTCGCATGCAACGCCCAGCTCAGCTAAAACAAATTCCCTAACGAAGCGTCTGTCTGGTCTGGTTGCGCCTCGTCTCCCCTCGCCGCGCCGCGCCTCGCCTTGGCTCGTTTCAATTGTTTGCTTTTTGCTGCTGCAGTCATTTTATTTATCTTTGATAAAAGGTTTTAGTTTTCCATATGTGTGCGAGTGTGAGTAAGTGTGCGTGTGTGTGTGTGTGTGTGTGGGCGACCCATCAATAGAGTGGCTTAGGTTAAAAGGTTTGGTTGTTTAAGGGATTTGTTCAAATTCGCTGTGACTCACAAGAATGCGAAATTGAGTTTCATTTGGAGTAAAGATTTTTAATGGATGTGTAAACTGGATATTGGCAATATATGTACATACACATATATACATAAATATATATATATCTATAGAGAATCAATATCATAGTTTAAGCATGCAAGAAAATATATTTATGATAAAAGTAAGTAGATTAAACTGCATTTTGAAAATAAAGTGATAAAGCACAACTCTATAAATGCATTTTTCAACACTATAAGCAGCCCAAAGACGCTAGAACACAAATTTACAAAAGCCCCCTTATAAATGAAACATAAATTTTTCGGCAGCAGAAAGCTAACCATGAATCTTTTAGTATTTCGTTAACTTACAACACTATAATTACATTTACTAGTATTTTACAACACTTAAACAAAAGCCAAATTAGAAAACCAATGTTAATGAAGGTTAACAATTATTAAATTAAAAATTAAAACTCATCATATTAATACAACTTGCAACACCATAATTGCATAGCACTTGATAGCGTTTTTCAACACTTGAAAAAGTAACGTTTAATGCAAACAAAGGCAGTTTCTATTGTCACGCAAAAAGTCGCCCACGAATGACGCCAAATGTCAAATGTTTATAAAAACAATTGAAATTAAATTTATTATAAACAATATATGGCATATAAAGCACATATTTCTTTGACAAATATTTCAGAAGAAAGAAGAGGAAGATGAAGAGGAAGCAATAACAAAACGAGTGTGTGACGCATGCAAAAAAAAAAAAAAAAAAAAAGAAGCAAAATGAACAAAATAAAAGGAAATACTTCAAATTATTTCTTGTTAGTTTTATGGAGTTGCATGGCTTTATATGTGTATATTATACATATATGTGTATATATGCATCATATATAAATTTATATACACACATATATGTACACATATGACTTTAATGCAATGCAAAAAAAAAAAAAAAAAAAAAAAAAAAAACCTAAGCAAATGCGTCACAAATTTTGCTTTTACTTTTAGCTCTGAGCTCGCGTCTTTTGTGCTTGAAACATATTTATTATAGCAGCTGTTGTTGTTGTTGTTACTGCTGCTGTTGTCGCTGTTGCTGTTGCTGTTGCTGCGCTGCTGCTGATTGCGTGCAACAACTTGGCAATGCGACGCAAACTCTTTTTCGAGTCCCAAATTTTGGCTGGCGACGCTCGAAGAAAGCGAAAGTTATGACATTTTGGCAGCCAAATGAAAGTGTAGATATATATATGTATGTATGTGTGTGTGTGAGGAAGAGTGTACGTGTGTGTATGTTGTGGGTGTTAGCTAGGCAGCGACAAATTGCATTTGTCATAAATTAGTGCGCAAGCAGCTGCTGAAAATATTCTGCAAAATGATTAAATTTTTAAATTAGTTATACATATATACAAATATTATACATATTTTTTATATTATATATATATATTTTTTTTTATATAGAAAAATATGTACATATGTACTTTTAAAATATTTTTTAGAAATAAAATAAATATATTATAAATTACAAAATAATTAATTAATAAATAAAATATAGATTTTAAAAATACCTAAATATACGCAGCACGCAATAAAAGCCTCTTCAATATATGTACATATATATTCATATTGAATACATAGCAATCAAAATTAATTCTACTAAAAAGAAAAATAGAATTTTCAACACTAATACAGTAAATTTATCCGCAGCTTTTCACGTTTAATAAACTTCAACTTCACACACAACAAAGCGCCTTATATCACGTTATTATCATTATATATATGTATATATGTTTGCATATATTTTTATTCTCTGCTTCATTTACATCATGTGGAAAAGCGTGGCCTAAAAAAAAGAAAATCATTTAAAAAGCCAACAATTAAGAAACGAAACAAACTTCACTTCACTTTGTTCAGCGCTCGACGTTGACTTTGAATGAAAATATTTATGCATATAAAGTGAGGCACTCACACATACATACACAGTGACTTTTGTATCTGTGTGTGTGTGTGTGTATGTGTGGGGGGGCATGTAAAAAGCAGCGTAAAAAGAAAAGCAAAAAAAAGGCAGCTAAAATAAAATAAAATACAAATTTATCTTGAACTTGAACTTGAAATGAAGACATCGAAGTCGTTTACCAGAGCAGCGACGTCGACGTCGCGACGTTGACGTTGACGTCGTTTTGTCTGCTTTCACAGTTGTTGTTGTTGTTGCTGTTGTTGGTAAGGCATTTATCTGCTATGGCTGCTATGGTTGGCGTTGATGCGCATTAACGAAGGGGTTTTCAGTTAAATTGTATGTAAATATATAAACATTTATACAAATAATTGAATAAATATTAATATAGATAGGATGCAAGTATAAGGCGAAAGCAAGCAAATGGCTAGCTGAAGACCCTTCCATAGTTCCCTAGCTTATAGTTTATATATTGTTTAGCATCAGTTCTTATCGGATATATATACCCTATCTACACAATTTCAATAGGCACAAGTTTTACCCATTAAAAAAAAACAGCAAACGGAAAAAATGGTAGAAAGCCCGCATTTTGCTGCAGCAAATTTGCAATTAATTTGATTTCTTTTTTTTTTTTTTGCATGTGTATAACAGACTACGGGAACTCTACTGCTGCCTCTACGTCTCTCTACTCTCTGTCTCTCCCCTCTCGCTCGCTCTCTCTCCGTCTCACTCAGCGTGCAGCTTTGTGCTGAATGTCAACGCAATTGTGACTTTGAAATTGCGCCAGACATACAACAAAAATACTGCAGCAACAACAACAACAACAACAACTTGTATTCAGTTTGTTTTCGCTGCAGGCGGTAGAGAATGCACAGCTAGAAGATACCCCATGCTGTCTAATTGAAAGAAAGAAACATGAAGTGGAATTTCGCTTGAATATAGATAATGACGATATATGCATCAATATCGATTCTATAATCTATAGATACATATACATGTATGTATACATCACCAGTATACCCGCTCTACCCAACTTTCGCAGGGTATAAAATGAAACATGAAATTGTCTGTTGTTTTGTTTCTTTCACTTTTTGTTCTTTTGCTTTCTTTACTTTTTGTTTTCATTTAGTGTAACAGTCTGTCAGCCCGTCAGTCTGTCAGCCCGTCAGTCTGTCAGTCTGTCCATCCACACAAAAGCGGGCTGGGCTCCGGCTAAAAGTTTCGCGCAGCTCGGGCATTCACAATATTTTTAGTTGTTGCTTCTGCTGCGCACAAAACATTCAAATGCATACAAAATGCTTTTTAATGAGATAATCGCTAAAAAAAAAAAAGGGGGAAAAAACAAATATTAATATTAAGAAAACAATATAAATAAATATGCTCAAAAGTACGCAAAAAATTAAAAGCTTTAAATATTTTGTATTCCATTTAAGAGAAAGAAGATAAATAACATAAATAATAAGCTCTTAATTAAGCTATAGAGCGCTGGCAATATAATATAACAATTTATATGTTTCAAAAATAAATATTTCGAATTTGTTATATATATAAAATGATTAAAAATAATATATAAATTAATTTTTTTTAAATAGTTTCGATAAATGCTAAAAATATTAAAGAAGAACGGTAGAGAAAAACGAGAATATATGAATTTTAAAATTAACAAACTAATCAATATTCATTATATATTAAAATTATACGAATTAAGTACAGCAAAAATGCTATAAGTTAAGTAAATTTAAATTAAAATAATATAAAACGTTTATTATCTATATTAAGATAAATTAAATATACTTAATTAAAAATAATGGATTGAACTAAAAAACTATTATTATATTTAGTATTTTGATTACACAAAATATTGACATGTATATTTATATATTTTGTTTTTAAATATTTACATTTCATTTTATTTGGCTGTCAGTTTGAAGAGCTCTTAAAATTTCAGTCTTGTAGAAAAAAAAAACAAAAGAAGAGTAAAAATTCGATGAAAATTTTTACAAGTAGATGACACATCACATTAAAAAATAACAAGTAAGAAGGCTCCAGTCGAGACTGCTCGACTAGGAGATACCCTGAACCCTCCAAGCTGATATTCTAATCAGTCTGGACTTCTTTTATGCACACATACATACACATGCACTTATAAGCACGCGCTCTGCTGACTGCGCAGTTAGCAGCGACTGCGCTTGGGCTGCGCTGCAATGCACTATAGGAAAAAAGCCCGAAATTTTGGCATCAATTCTAAAAATAGAGCTAGGAGGTTGAAATTTTACATACACCTAAGATAGACTAAGTTAGAATTTCGAATTTTTTTTTTTTACGATTTGACCACGCCTTCTCCCCGCCTCCTTGTTACCCAATTATGAAATCATGTGTACTTCAGACATAAATTTTTTAAATATATTATATATATCTTACATTACATATCTTCATATAAAAATAAATGTGTACAGCTTATTATATAATAAAAAAATTAAAATGTGTATATTCATTCCGTTGATACCCTGTAAAATTAAGGAAAATATGAAAAAAAATGTTGTATTTTTATTTTACAATAATTACCACATCTCCAAAAATTAACATCAATAATCATAATTTTCTTCATCCAATTCGATATTCGGGTCGAAATTGTTTGCATCATCCTCATCCTCATCTTCAGCTTCTAAACTTTCAGTTTCATTTGTAAATTGATGCGCGATTTGCGGAGGCTCAATCAGAGCAAACAGATCAATCACTTCGCTTGGAAATTTTAATTTTTTGTGAAGCTTCTGTCTTTTTTTAAGACAGAGACTTGACAAAAGCGGATCAGATGAATCTAATGCCCTGTGAAAAACATCAGTGATGTTGTTTAGCCTACTGCTCTTTCTGGCATGCGACCTTCTGTCATTTTTATAAATTTTGTTTCGAGCTTCTGATGCGTTTTCTCCGAGAACACCAACAGGAACTATGCAGCTATCCATTATTTGGTATCCATGGATCAAAACTTTGTGCACAGTTGGGGACATGGGATACCAAAAATAGTTATTCATATATATTTCAATATTTCACTTCGAATGCCATATCATTTTCTTTGCATTTTTTTGCTGAAACCGATGCAGCATGTATAAACAGTTGGGTTGTGTGTTCTTCTTGACTTGCAAGATCAGAAGCTAATTTTCTCTTCAGCCGACTGCCTGCTTCTTCATAAGTAAGTTCTTTACGGCCAGCTTTATCTTGCGAGGACTTAACTTCTTTTAAGTTGATAAATATTTTGCCCTCGACCCACCGTGAAGGTGTTGCTTTGAATCTATGCAGATTACGGTTACATCTGGGCAAATATCTTTTAACAAAAGCAATAAACTGGGCTACTTGGGTAGAAATACTGTTTTCTACATTTTCATCCACATTATTATTAATTTTTTCAATCATAAACAATTTCACCGCGTCTGCTTGGCGATTGTTGCTTGCCCATACGTCTAGAAGCTCTGAGCGCGTAAACTCATACTTAGCTATAAAAACGTTATTTTTTCGAAATGGAGCAAAAAGGAGCAAAAACGGTTAAAAGCCTCTAATAATAGAAGTTTCAGACAACACGTTTGCAATTAAACTTCATCACTAGTCTCCTCTATTTGTAAGTTATGTTCCACGAAACACGAACTATTTTGTTATTTTTTAGCTAAAATACACAACAACAAAACATTGAACAATTAGACAAGTAAGCAAATGAACTCAAAAATTTGAATTGACAATTTATAGTACATACCATCAGTAATGTTTTCCATTTTTAAAGTTATAAATTTTATTTTTATTTACCGCAGTACTAAACTTCAAAGTTGCACAATTTTTCCCGCGCTTTTTTTGCATACAAAGCAACTCTGGGTCAGCTGACTTGCAGCCCCGCGTTATATAGTAGGGGCAGTCCATAAAATTTTTAAAAAATTCATTTTATATTAGTTAAGATATTTATTATTGGAAAATAAAAAAAAAGGTTAAAAATTGATAAAAAAAAAATTGTATTTATGCCAAAATTTCGGGTTTTTTTCCTATAGTGCAATGTGGGCAATATTATGAGAATTTATTTGTTGAATAATTTCTTTTGTAGACATACGATCTTAATGAAACTTTCAGAGCGTAATCATATGGCTAAAATATGTGTACATTCCAAAGCACAAGTCTCTAGTACTTGAAATGCGTTTTTTACAAATTGGGGGAGAAGGGGGCGTGGTATCCAAAATCTGTAAATTACAAAATCTTTGTATCCATTAACTTTATATACAACCTAAATTTGAAGTCTCCAGGTCTAAAAGTGTTAAAATTAGGCAGAAAAAACCAAGTCGATTTTTCGATTATTCTCGATAAAAAAGTTATCGGACGAGTTATCGAAAAAATAAAGCAAACTTGTACTGCCTATGGTATACACGAGTATGCATGCCAAATTTCAGCTCTCTAGCTCTTATATCTTCTGAGATTCTTTTGCTCATACGGACGGACGGACGGACGGACGGACGGACGGACGGACGAACGGACGGACAGACGGACAGGGCTATATCGACTCAGCTCGTCGTGCTGATCAAGAATATATATACTTTATGGGGTCTGCGATGATTCCTTCTGCCTGTTACATACTTTTCACAAAACCATTATACCCTGATTTCCCATTTTCAATGGGTTCAGGGTATAATGACATAACAGTGCAAATAAATTGAACAAAATAAACAACAAGCGAGTGCGAAATGCAAAAGTTCATAAATTAAATGAAACAAAAAGTAAATAAAATAAAATGAATATACATATTTGAGTAAATATACATATATACACTGCGCGTCATCAGGTTAGCGCCCCCCTTTACACTCAACCTCAAAGCTAAATAAAATCTAAACCAGCAGAGCTCCATCTTTGAAATTTTTTTACATTATACTCCATTTATTTCTCTTTAAAATACAAAAAGAATGGCTACTGTAACAATAAGGATTATTTTTATACCCTGAACCCATTTTCAATGGGAAATCAGGGTATAATGGTTTTGTTGAAATGTATGTAACAGGGAGAAGGAGGCGTGGCAGACCCCACAAAGTATATATATTCTTGATCAGGGTGACGAGCTGAGTTGATTTGGCCCTGTCCGTCTGTCTGTCCGTCTGTCCGTCTGTCCGTATGTATGAACGCGTCGATTTCAGAAGATATAAGAGCTAGAGACTTCAAATTTTTTTTAAAATGTCCGTAATTACAGCGCGCATATCAAGTTTATCATTAAAAATCGATAACTCATCCCGATCTTTTTTTATCGATAAAAAACCTTATCGAAACCCAGTCATAAAATTATATCTTCTACACCTTTATTGCTAGAGTCTCCAAATTTTTAATGTATGCTTATATGCAATTTATACAATTTCGGTTTTTGTTAAAATTTACCCCCCACCTCTAAATTCACCCCCTCACCCTCACTTTTGTAAAAAGCGTATTTCAAATACTAGAGACTTGTGCTTTGGCAAGTACATGCATATTCATGTTATAATCATAATCTAAAAGTTTCATGAAGATCGTACGTCCATAAAAAAAGTTATTAAACAATTAAGTTCTCATAGTAAGCGCACACTGCAGCCCATGCGTGTTTATGCGTGGTTGCTTGTATGTGTATGTGTGTGTGTGTGTATGCGTTTGTGTCTGTATGCGTGTGTGTGTGTATGTGTGTCTATATGCGTGTGTGTGTATGTTTACCTGTGTGTTCGTACGTGCGTGTGTGTGTGTGTGTGTGCGTGTTTCTTGTGTAAGCTGAAAGTCGCGAAAAAGTATTGAAATATCTATTGCTCCAAGGGTTCAGGGGATCTCGTAGTCGAGCAGTCTCGACTAGAGCTTTCTTACTTGTTTAATAATTTTTTTTGTAAAATGTACAAAAAACATGTAACAAAAATTTGGTCATCAGATTAGCGCCCCCTGCGCTAAATTCAATTTATTTAAGTTAATTACCAAAAATAACACCTGTATTTTAAGCTATTGTTATTTTTAAGTAATATTAGTAGTGCGTAGTGCCGTTTTTTGTTTGAAATTACTTAAAAAATTCGATTAGGAATGGAATTATAAAGTTGTTCAATATTATTCAAGGATATGGTTGATTAAGCGTGTTCAGTACCTTCGATTAACTCTGTCTTTGTACTATAATGCTTTCCGGACTCATATACTTTCCTGACCAACCATCCCCAGACGTTTCCAATGATATTAAGGTCGAGTGAGTATGGTGGCCACTCCATGAGATCAATTTTTTGGCCCTGAATCCAGGACTTCAGGGATCGGGCGGTCTGAATTGGAGCATTATCATGCTGGAAAATCTAATGCCGGTTTTCAGACAGGTTATAGAAATGCGGAACAGCAGTTTTAAACACGATATTATGGTCCTATGCGTTCATGCGCGATGTCAAAAATTGAAGCTTGCAAGTGCTGTAGTACGATATTGATACCTACACAAATGCCACACCACCCCCTCGCCGCAGCGGCTTGAAAACCGTTCCAAATAATGTTCTTCTATGAGTAGGTCATGGATATAATAATTATAGCCATCAGTTCCTTCCAAATTCAGTTTTTATCATCAGAAAAGCCAACATGCTGCCATTGGATAGGCCACGTCATGTTCGCCCGGCCAAAATTAATGCGTATTTCTTTTCTCAGCATATCGACTGGTGTCTTTTTTTTTACATTCTGTTTCTTTAAGTAATTAACTTTCTTAATTGCTCTTTAGACCGTTGATAAGCTCGTCTTAACACTGATTTTAACCCTAATCTTGGTGGTCGATTCGTGGGAATTCGAAGCTTCTCGAACTAATGCTCTTCTATTTCCTTCTGAAATCACTTGATTATTGCCGCTTATATAGTTTTTTCCATAGTTTTCCCTATTTGTAAGAAAATTGCCACTTTGTTTTCTGTTTTTTCCTGATTTTTCAGCAATTTTATGGTTGCATAGTCTAGATTCAAAGTATGCCTAAATCTTTGATTTTCAACCAAAGATAAAACTGTTTCTTTACCCATACTATAAATATATTGAATACTTTGAGCTTCACAAAAAATTTGGTGAGTGTAATTGCCAAAATAAGCAAGATAATTACAATTGCATTTGGGGGCGCTAATCTGATGACGCAAAATAAGTGCACACATTTTTTGCGAAAATAGAGAAGGATAGAAAATAAAACATAACGGGTTTTCACTCGCGGTTTTTTTTGGTATGAGAGACATCTCATATAATGATAATGAAATAAAAAAAAAACCAAGAAGTTGTGTGCAATAGGCAAAGAGAAAAACGTAAAAGAAAATGAGTGTAAGGGGGGGCGCTAACCTGATGACGCGAAGTGTATATATATACATATACATATACATATATATTTGGATATTATTGCATATAATATACAAAATTGCAAAGTGCAAAAATAAGCAAAAATAAATGAAGCGCGAAATAAGTAATATTTAATACCCTGTATGTAGTGAAAGCTGATTGAATGTGGTATACTGGCTCTGTTAAGGGTAGACTTATGATAGAAGAAAGTATATAAATATATAAGAATAGTCAAAAATGTAAAAATATGTTAGAACTCCACAATTCAGTATTATTGCTTCGATTTCACTAACTCTGTCTCTCTCTCTTTCTTTCTCCCTCTCTCTCTCACTATATGCAATAATCATTCATAAAACTATCAAATCTTTAGATTCCTGTTAAAAATACATACATACTTCAATACTTCAATACGACATACAGAACCAGCTTATATGTTGATTAATGTGTTCTTCCACTTCCTTAATAACATTAAAAATCGATTTTGTAGCTTCAGTTGTCTTTTTAGCATAACTCTAAGTATTTAAGCGCTACGCACGTTAAAATTGATATATCTGCTCTTCTATACTGTAAACACCTTTCACTTGTATTTTTTTGTTTAACTCTAAAAACTTTTATACAAAATTAACAAATCTCGCAAACTTTAAAAACTAGAAACATTAAATTTAGTATTTAGTTTTGTATAAGGTATATTTAGTGTATGTTGGTTATTTTTTGTGGATAGTTTTTCGTGTTTTATAAGAACTAGGGTCTTATATTTTAGGTTATGGTTATTATGGTTATTAATAAAATTGAACAACGAAAGCTCGAGTTATAGAACAGTTTGGCAAAAAAGGGCCTTAAAAACCAAGAAAAAAAAATAATAAAAATAAATAATGAAGATAGCTTCTTTTTTTCATAAAATTAAGCTGAAGATATGAATTATTTATGTTATGTCTAAACGCAGACGGCCACAGCTTAGTGCAGTGTATCTGGCAGTCGAGCACGCCCGCGTGGCGTAAGCTAAATACTGTCTATGTGCAAAATGTATCTGCAGCTGTCTATCAGTTGCCTTTGTATCTATAATTGTGTAGATGCCGTCGCTAAAAGTTGTTGTTGTTGTTGCTGTTGTTATGTATTAGCGTTATTATTTACTCGCTTTTGCGCGTATCTTTCGTTTCGTTTGGTTTCGTTTTGGCTGTTTGCCGTGGAAGCAGCGTAGAATGAAAGATTTGTGGAATTGGGACACTTGTGTGCAGTGTGTCTGCGCTTTACGGTTTTTTATCTTGCTCTCCTCATATTCTCGTCTCTTTCCATTTTCTGCTACGCGTCGCTGGCTAACGGCGCGTATCTGTGAGATACTTTTGCACTGCCCGCCCCACACAACGGCGACTACGACTGGGTGGGCTGCTTGTTGCTCTCTGCTAACTAAGCGAAGAGACAGCTAAATATCAAACAACAACAGCAACAACAGCAACAACAAAATAAGTTTTTTTGAAAAACAAATTTTGCTGCGCGTGGCTGACAAATGTTGTCAGCAACAATTTCAACTAAATATATGTGTATAAATATATTTATATGTTTCATATTTTGGCAATGGACTAAAATTATTACAAATAAATTACAATTTTCAATCTGCTAAATAAAATTCTTTGGCTAAAGTTTTAGCAATATTTTTTTAATTTA